GCTCTAGCCTCCCCCCCCCAATCCAGGCAGTTCTTCCTTACATCTAACTGAAACCTTTCATGCTACATCACCAACAGACCCTCACTGAAGCACCAGAAGATGTCCCCAGCCCTGCCCATGCCAACTGCGAGCTGGTGGCGCTCCTGGCTCAGGGCGGTTATCTTGCTGACAGTTAATTGGCTTTTGTTAGAGGAGAATGAATACCATCTCATCTTAATCTTCCTCATTATTCTCCTTGTTCAGCAGAGTCAACACAAGATTAGGTTTAATTTATGGGGAAAAAAATAGCAAAGTCATTACTCACCAGGAGATCAGGATTGGATCTGCCTGAGTGTTCTGTGTTCACTGCAAGTGAGGGGCCACGAGGAAAGCCTGGAGTTCTGCTGAGGCAGGGACAGGCTGGGGGAACCTTGGCCCCCAGATCCGTTTGGGGCTGGATCCCTGGAGACCACCAGCCCTTTCTAGTCTTACAGGACTCAGGCTTCAGAGCACCCAGCCTCCTACATGTTTCTCAGGAACCTTTGCCATAAAGACCAGTCCCAAAGGAGGGCAGGGAGCTCAGCCTCTGAAGAGCCAGACTCAACCCAAGTCCACTGAAAGAAATCAGGATTTGGATTCAAATTCTGACTTCTGAGACCACCTCCTCTGCAGAGAACTGGCCAGAACCAGCCCTTCCTGGGGCTCCCTTGACAATGCTGTCACCTAGTGGTGCTTAGAGGAACTGGTCCTTCCTTCCATCCCTCTACATCCCCAAGCAAACCATACCATGTACCAAAAAAATCCAGATTCACAAAGTAAATCAGAAAGGGAAAGAGGGACTTTTAGCCATTTCAAAATGGCTAAATAGAGTTCCACCAAGAAGTCTAAAAGAAAATTCATCTTATCTTCCCTGACCCCTTAACTAAAATGGCCCAGACCCCTTAGCACCCCCTCTTTCTTCCTGGGGCAATAATAAGCAGAGAAGCCCAGAAGCCTCACAGTTCTTGTCACTTCCAACTCTTTCCACTTCCCCTGCCCCAACTCTGTCCTCTGGCACATGCTCATCTTGGACCCTGTACCACAGTGGAGTAACTAGGACCAACTCAACTACTTACTCGTCATATGACCCTAGGCTAGTTACCCAACATCTGAGTCTTATCTCTTTCATTCATAAAATTGGAGTGCCTGATCTACTAGAGAGGGCCACTGAGCAGATTAAACAAGCCTGTGTGCTTAGCACAGGAACTGGCAGCCGAAAGTCCTCAGCAAATGCCTATCACCCTCACCACCATCATCACTATCATCCTCTTCATCATGCTTCTCTGAAAGTTTGGTTTCATCCACTGAACTGTAAGCTTCTAAAGGTGGCTCAGTGGTAAAGAATTCCCCTGCCAGTGCAGGAGACACAGGTTCAATCCCTAGGTTGGGAAGATCCCCTGGAGGAGGAAATGGCAACCCACTCCAGTAGTCTTGCCTGGGAAATCCCATGGACAGAGGAGCCTGGAGGTTACAGTCCATGGGATCACCAAAGATCTGGACACAACTGAGCACACATGAACACACCTCTAACTCCTCATCCCCAGCTCCTGCTAGACAGAAGAGTTTTTTTTTTTTTCCTTAAAGGACACTGATATCATCTCTGCTTCTTGCAGCACTTATAGCTTATTAGACAGAGCACACGGTAGGTGCTGGGGGAAACTCTCAAGAGCACCTGCCAACGTCTCCAACTTCATGTCAAACCACTTCCCCACTTGTTCACTGAGCTCCAGTCACACTGGTTGCCTTTCTAATCTGTAAGTTCATTCCCAACCCCAGGGCTTTGCATTTACAACTCCTGCAATGTTCTTCCCCCAGATATTTGGTTTCTCATCACCATTTAAGTGTCACTTTCTCAGAGAGATCCTCCCTGATCACTTAACTGTGCACAGCAGCACTCCCACGCTCACTCTCAACTTTGTTTACTATGCTATAGAGGTCAAGTGCCTAAGTGGCTGGGTAGAACTCCTGTTCTACCACTTACTAGCTATGTGGCCTCAGACAACTTGCTTTACCTCTCTGGGCTTCAGTTCTCATATGTAAAAATGGAAATGTTAATAATAGTGGTTCCTACTTCATAAGGCTCTTATGATGAATTAATACATGTAAAGCTCTTGGAGTAGTGCCTGTTGTCTCTAAGTGTTATATCATGTTGGTAATTATCCTATTTATTTAACTGCATGTATTTATGTTTCTCCATCTAGACTGTATATTCCAGGAAGACAGAGGCCTTCTTTGCTTTATCCCTGCCTGGCAGGGAGCAAGTGCTTAAAAATACCAGTTGATTAGAAAGAAATCTTAGGGCCAGGCAGGCCTCTCCTTAATCACGTTCAGGTGCCTTTGAGCTAAGTGGCCAAACAGTCGGCTGTCTCTGGCTTTCACACTCTCAGGGCCCTCGGGCTCCCCCTGCTGGACAGAGAGTAGGTTTTGTTTTGTTGTGTTTTTTTTTTTTTTTGCCTTGAGGCTGATCGCAGCCTGCTGTAGCTGTCAAATTTCCACGCCGCCTAGGGGACAGTAAACCTGGCTCTTTAGAGTCAGACGCACCTGGATCAGAACTTGTGCTTCTCCAGTTATTCTGCACATCATACGACAGGAAAGTCTCTCATTTGAGCCTCCTTATGGGCAGAAGGGGGGTGACGATGCCCTTGCCCCCTCCCCCACATCTAACTGGGTTATAGGCAGTGTGGTGTGAGGGCACCCCGTGCACAGGGAGACCTGCAGGCCCCCATACCCCCAGAGTCAGCCCTTGGATGATGCAGAGAAGCCGTCTCATCTTCCAAAGCTAAACACCACCAGGTATCTGCTGTTTTTCAAGGGACAGACACGCAGGGACAGTCTGGAGCACCCCATTATCTGAGCCCCTTGGGTCTCCTCGGTGGGCCCTGTGCCCTGGGGAAAGAATCTGGCCTCTATCCCTCTGGCTCCTTCCTCTGAGAGCCGGAAGTTGGCTGGAGAGGGCCTTGCTGGGCTTGCATACTCCTATTCACTTGACCCTCACCTCCCTGGCTGCTGTCTCCCCCATCGTGGCCTCAGAGGCCAAGGGTTCCCTGCCTCACTCCACACTTGTTTCCAGATCTCACACTGCCCTTGGCTTTAGCTGAAGACCACAGACACTGCAACTCCTATATCTCCAGCCCAGAGTCCTCATGGCCCTCTTTCCTGAACACCCCCTGGGGGACTTCTCCTTACCTACAGCACCTTTCATGCCTTCCATACCCCTGCCCTGACACCTAATCCTTGTGGACCCCTGGACTCAGATTCCTGGCCTCTCATACCCACTGCAACTCTCTGTCCAATCTCCTCCCAAACCCCCAGTGTGGTCTCTGGCCCTGACCCATCCCCATCTGGTTCCCCATGTGCCCATCCTATTCCCTCACCCCCAAAGTATCACCTTGCCCATTACTCCTTCACTTAAATCTGGGAGCTCAAGGGGTAACCCTCTTCCTTCATGGCTCCTCAGAAAACTGGGTCCCCAAGGTAAGGCATTGCTTACCCTGTCTGACTGGCAACTCAGGTGCGTGTGAACAATGCCTTTCCCACTGGACTGTGAAATCCTCTAGAAAGGGCCAAAGGTGCTCATGGGACAGAGGGCTGTGGCTACAACTTCAGACTAGGAGTTTTCAGGGATGTGTCTTCCCTATCTGACTGATGCTCCCAGAGCAGTGAGCATATCTCCACCATTAGACTGGATATAGCCCTTCCCCAGATGCCCCATCCTCGATGTGGCCAGGCAGTGACTTTTCCAGGGACAAGGAGTGTCTTTCTCAACCTTGTAACCTTAGGACCCTGCACTAGGCCTGGCCCCAGGTTGGGGCTTCAGGAATCATGGGTGAATAAATGAACCAAAGAACAAAGGCAGGCAGGCTGCAGCTTAAACTCTGCAAGCCCACTGACAAAGTAGGTGGCATCAAGGAAAGCTGGAGGGGCAGGGAGATTTTATTGGTCATCCTTCTGGACAGAACAGATTTCTCAAGACCCTCAACCACCCCCAAGACCAGCAGCTGAGAGTCCTGGGGAGGAGGATGGGTTTGAGAGATGCTGGGGAGGCCAGAAAAGGAGCTCCTGGCCCAGAGCCTGGTACACACTCTTCCCTCCACCTCTCCCTTTGAACCAGTGCCAGGGGCTGGCCTCTGGGCAGGGCTTGGAAAATGACCCATGAGACCAGATGCTAATGACTCCTGTCTAATCCAATACTAGGCCAAGGAAGACAGCATGAAGTGGGTATGAACTGAAGAGGGACACCAAGCTGACCCTTCCTGTGCCTCCCACCTGCTCACCGCCCCCCACCCCCACAATCTCCCACCTTGAGCCACTGGCACTAGTCGTGGGCCCAGGAGAACTGGTACCTTAGCTAGGTGCTGCCATCACTCACCATCCTGCCTTCAGAAAGGAACAGGGCGGGGGATCAAGAGAGGCCAAGAAGGGAGCCCCCACACACGCCCTGTTCTGGCTTCTGGGCAGTTTGGGTGTCAGTCAGGCGCCAGGCCCAGCTCCCCATCCTTGGCCTCACAATCCCAGCCTTTGTTCCGCCGATCCAGGCCCGGCTGGCTCTGCACCCGCCCAAGGGCCCCTGGAAACCAGAGCAGCTGGAACCCCACCAAGTATTTTTCCAGACTGGGCCAGAGGCCCTCAAGAGACAGAGACTAAACAAAGGGAGGGGGGTTCATTCATCCGTTTGTTCATTCATTCCTTCCTGGGACAAATAATATTTATTGAACGCCCACAGTGGCAGGCACTGTGCTAGAGGACAAGTGCTAGGGGATTTAGTGGTCGGCCCAGTGCAGACCCACGCCCTCACCCATCTTATTTTCTGCATGCAAATATATACCAACAAAACCTCTCTCTTCCTATGTGGGGGCTGGACTTAGAATATGGGACGGAGAGGAGTGCGTGGGGGTGGGGAGGGTGAGGATGCTACTAAGGCCTATCTAATCCCGGGCCTCTGCCCCTCCAAGGCAGCTGGGAGAGGCTGGAGGACAGGTCACTCAGGGCTCCACCCACACGCTGCTGTTGGTCACCCGGGCCCCGAACCAGCCCTTCCAGTAGACGCAGTCCTGTCCCCCGTGCTCGAAGCGGACGAAGCGGACGCCGGGCCCATAGTCGGTGAAGGTGTGGGAGATCTGGAGGTGGGGAGTTGGGGGAGGGTCAGACTCAGAGCCCTGAGGCCTCCCCCAGCCACCCCACCCCGGCGCCCTGACCCTCCTCTAGCCCCCTGGACTTTGCAGCGCAGCATCCCTCCTCTGGGTCTCTCCCACCGTCCAGGCTAGCCCCGCCCACAAGCCCCGTGGGCGGGGTTTCAGCGAGCCCCGCCCCTCGCATCCAGACCCCGCCCTCCGCCCTCGGGCCTCTGAGCTCACTCACCTCAATCCAGCCACCGTCGTCGCTGTCCGCCGGCACTGCCACCTGCCCGCTGTTGAACTCGGCCAGCACGTCCTCGTGCTCCGACAGCAGCTTCACCGTGAGCTCGTACAGGCAGCCGGCGTCTCTGCGGCCCGAGTACCTACCCCGGGGGAGGGAGCGAGCGCCCGGGGCAGGCTTCAGCCCTGCTGAGCCAGTACTCTGGGCCCAGCTCTTAACAGAAATTAACCCTACCGGCCGGTACTACCAATGACCCCATTTTACAGATAAGGAAACCGAAGCCGGAGAGAGAAAATGACTCGCTCAAGGTCCGAACCCAAGAACTAAATCCCAGACCGAACCTTGGGACCAAAACCAAACCTGCCAAGGAAGTTCTTGTTTGGATCGCACATATTGAAAAACAAAACCAAAAGAGCTTGTCAACATTTAAAATTCAAGAGGGGAGGCGGTTTTCCACCTTCTCCTGAAAACCCGTGGCCCGTGTGGTCGCAGCCTCTAGAGTTGGGAGGCAGGGGTCCGTGAAGCGGGGTAGCCGGTTCCAGTTGGCCCTCGACCCCACTCCCCTAGCCCCCCGGCCGCTCACCAGTCCTTCACCACGATGGCCGGCTGAGTGGTGTCCAGTAGCTCCTCCCAGTAGCCCTCAGCCTGCAGATCAATGATCTGCGCTTTGCGACACCACCTGGGAGACTGGGGGTTAGGATGGAGCGGAGACTCCTCCCCTCCCCTTCCCATCCGTCCCCCTTCTCCTTACTCGAAGGAAGAGGCGAAGTACTTCTTGACGCTCTCATCGTGGATGAATTCCACCCCGCAGTCTCCGGGCAGCTCCTCCACCCTCCAGCCGTCCCCACCGTGTTCCACGTCGCACCAGCCCTCCAAGTCCTCTGTAGGAACACAACAGCCCCACGCTGGCCACCCAGTCCCTGCGAGGGTGTGGTGGGGCTGGCTCTTGCCCCCATAGTGGGGGGAGGGCAAACGTGGTCCTTGAACGTTGGGCAGAGGGTGGTGGAAGTGAAGAGTGAGCACTTCCTGGTTTTCCCCCGGATTTTCTCACGCTCTCGGGAGGGTCTTCCGCGGGACCTGTCTTGCCCAATGTCCCCGGGGATGGAAGGATCCCCAGGGAAAGTGAACCTCCCCCCCGCCCAAACCTAACCCAGGGAGCAAGACAGAAAGATAATACTACAGTATGTATTGGGGATACTTTGTGCTGGGCACAGCGCCAAGCACTTTATCTCATCTACCGCTCAAAGCAGTCTGGCCTTGGAACGGCCCATTGTATAGAAGGAGAAGCTGAGCTCCCAAGGCCAGGGTGACAGGGTGCGACCTCTCACCTTCCCCACACGGGTTGCGCAGCAGGTTGCGCCGCCTCTTGCTCAGGAAGTAGAACTGCTGCCAGTGGTCGCGCTCGTCTTCGGGGCCGTCCTGGGGCACCAGCCCCTCCTGCTGGCACTTGAGCAGCCACAGGGGGGCGCCGTCCACCAGCTCCTTCCAGCGCAGGCACACCAGGCGGCAGGCCTGCACCAGCTGAGCGGCCGGCAGCTCGGCCAGCACACGCAGCAGCAGCGGCTCTGGCAGCTCGTCTAGGTACGCCGCCTCCTCCTCCCCCTCCTCCTCCGGCCGCTCCTCCCCGCCGCTCGCCTCCTCCGCGCACGCCTCCTCCTGCTGCTCCTCCGGGCTTACCTCCTCCGGCTGGCCCACGCTCCCTGAGGGTGGGCAGGGCGGGGGTGCTGCTGAGACTCCCCCCGACTGTCCCCCGCCGCGCCCCACAACCTCTATGTGAAGGGCATCGCCTCCACCCACGCTCCGACAGTCTGCAACTGGGGCCGAATTCCGTGACCAGAGAGTAGGGCCTTGTGGAGGAAGCCCAGGGGACCAGGGCCACCGATCAGCCCCAGGTCTGAAGAGGGGCCTCAGAGAACTGTTTCCCCTGCAGGGCCAGTACACCACATACCTGAGCCGAGAGCAATAACTGATGATATTTCTGACACATGGAAGTCCCTTATCCCTCTGAACAGCCCTCTGAGATCTCTGCTCCAGTCACCTCCTCAAAGGAGCCCTCCTGGACCTCCCCTATTACAAAGTCCTCTCACCTCACCGTTGGGAGTTCCATCCTTCCTAGCTTTTATCCAAGAATGTGATGGTTTATAAACACCTTTCTTTGGACTAGACTGAGGGAATGAGGGCAAGACCAGGGTCTGGGCAACTCACTGCTTCACCCCTAGTGCTTGGCATCCGACACCCTCCCCTGCCCACTGTCAGCAGCTATTGTCTATTGGGCTGGGCTTTCGTGATGGTTCAAATGGTAAAGAATCTGCCTGTAATGCAGGAGACCTGGAAGATTCCTGGGTTGGGAAGATCCCCTGGAGAAAGGAATGGCTACCTGTTCCAATATTCTTGCTTGGAGAATCCCATGGACTGAGGAGCCTTGAGGGCTACAGTCCATGGGGTCGCAGAGTTGGACATGATTGAGCGACTAACACCACCAAGAGTTAGGCCCTATTTCATTCTAAGCATTTTAATTGTATTTACTCTTTAAATCATCACAGCGTCTCTTCAAGGTTGTCTGTATTATCGTCCCATTCCGTTGATGAGGAAACTGAGGCACTGAAAGGTGAAACCACCCAGGATCACACAGCAAATAAGTGGCTGGAACCTGGATTTGAACCCAGGCAATGGGGCTTCCGAGGTGATGCTAGTGGGAAAGAACCCACCTGCCAATGCAGGAGATACAAGAGATGTGAGTTCGATCCGTGGGTCAGGAGGACCCCCTGGAGAAGGGCATGGCAACCCACTCCAGTATTCTTGCCTGAAGAATCCCATGGACAGAGGAGCCTGGCCACATGGGGTCAAAAAGAATCAGACATGACTGAGGCAACTGAGCACACCGCCAGGCACCAGAGTGGCCTTTAAGCACCACAGCCTTGAGAAAATGATTCGTGGGGTTGGGAGTTATCATTTTGATCTCAGGTGAAAATGCTCAGGCTCAGAGGTGTGGAATGACTTGCCAAAGGTCACAGTGCTGGTATTCAGGCAGGGGACACAGGGACCTGAGGCCTGAAGGGAAGAAGAAACAGGGGCGTGGGGATCGGGGAGGGAGGCTCCTTAAAAGACAATGTGTGTGTCAAACAGGGAGATGTACTATGTACTTGGGAAGGAGGGTTTCTTCACTCCTTCTCCTATCCCTGGCCCTCAACTTCCCTGTCTATAAAATAGGAATAATCCCTGCGCCAAGGCATTCAGACGGTACTGATGATCAGCTCCGCTGAGGAGTGGGCAAGGGCATTCTAAATTATGAGAGGGACCCGTGTCAGGAGCTGTGGGCTGAACTGTCTCTTGGATCCTGGCTGGCCTCAGCTGGGCCATCCAAGCCTTGAATAAGCAGATACTGTGTGCCCAGTGTCCCTGGAGACGGTGGGGAGGAGATGGAGCCACTCTGAGTGATGGGGGAGGCCACTGCTCTCAGACCTAGGATCGGGGCAGGGAGGATTCCCTAAGGGCTGGGCCTTGGAAAGCCAAGGCAGGGGCGGAAACAGCCCAGGCACCAGGGGAGGAACAGGCAGGGCCCAGACCCAAGGCTGGGGGTTGCCAGGACCTGGCCAGCCAGTCCTTCACCTCCTCACATGCAGCATTCCCCACCCCCAAACCCCAGTCAGGCCCCCGAGAGCCGAATCAGGGTTTACCTCTTCAGAACCCAGCGTACACAGGGAGTCCTCAGTACATCTTATTCAGTGAATCTTATTAGTTAGCACAGTTCCCTTCATTATTAGCTTTTTTTTTTTTTTGGCCACATCTTTATATGGGGCTTTACCCACCCCTCTGGCCAGGAGGAAACTGAGGCCCAGAGAGGCTCACTGGCCTCTCCCAAGTCACACCATAGAATAGTGGGGATGGCAGAGAGGAACATGCCTGCCCTGAAGCCATGTCACCTGCCTGTCCTGCTGCCCACAGCTCTCTGGGGAGCTGGGCCCAGTGTCCTCACCTCTCTACCCCTCCCCCTGCCCTGCCCTGCCCTGGCCCTGGTGGACACCTGATGCTCCCCAGAAAGGTGCACCTCGCCCAGTCCCCTCTCCTGGCCCCAGGCCTGGCACTCAAGGCCCCAGATCTGATTACAGGCCCCCCACCCCCTCTGGAGCACATACAACTCCCCACATTGTTGCCTTCGGAAAGTTATCTGGGTCCTGGAAGCTGCCTCTGAGGCTTATTCAGTCACTTGGATTGGGCCCTTGAGTCCAGGGAATAGCTGGGCCCTGAGAAAAAGCAGGAAACCATTCTGGGTACTATGAAAGGTGTGGCAAGGGGGCCATGGATTGGGAGCAAGAGCTGAAGGAGGTAGGATTTTCAGGGCTAGTGGTGGGGGCAGGGCAACTCAGCCACCCTGGTGAGCATCACTGTTACCCATTGTCTCCCCCAGGCAATGGCCTCTCAGATGTGCCTGATGACAAAGGGGTGAGGGAATCTGGGAGTGGGCAGGTCTTGTTCCCACCCTGACTCAGCAAGCAACCCCTCCAGGCACAGCGGGAAATCTTAAGAGATGAGGAGGGGGTCTTTGGTGCCAGACAAGATGACTGGACAGTCTCAAAGGGCTCAAAGCGTCAGCTAGAGCTGATGCCTGAACTCTCTCACTACTGGCCTGGTGCCCACTGGGCATCCAGCCAACCAAATGAGGATAGCCCCTCCAGACAAGGGATCCCAGGAGGAAGGCCTGGATAGGATGGGGAGCAGCCAGTAACCCCAAGAAATTCGTGGGGATTCAGACAACTCATGGCCCAGAGTTGGCAAATGCAAGAAGCTGATGGAATTAAAAGGCTTGTGGCCTCTTCCATCGCAGATGGGTCCCAGACCCCGGTCCAATCAGACCCTTAGGAAGCCAGGAGGAGGGGGGAACGTGGATCACTCCTTTGCTATCTGCGGATTAAATGGGACCCAGGAGTCTTCCCTTTGCCTGTCATCTCTGAAGGCCTCCCGCACATCAAGATACGAGACAGAAGGCTGTGCTCCTTAGAGACTGTCTCAAGGGCTCTGCTTGGGTGAAAGTTTGCCTCTCTGGGTCTGGGGGCCCCCCTCGCTCTCTGATGCCCCCTCTCCGTAGCACTCGCCCGCCTACCCCGGTCACCCCTCCTGGACTGAGCGAGTGGATCCGGTGGCGGCGGCTACCTGGGTCACCGTCTCCGTCCATTGCTGCGGAGGGCGTTCGCGAGAGGAGGAGGAGGAGGACCCGGAGCGCTGCGGGGCTGTCCGAGTCCCTAGGCGGCGGCGGCGAGTCCAGGCGCTGCCTGCGTCTGGGTCGGGTCCCGGCCGGCGGAGCCTTTTAAAGGCCCCCGCCTCCGCCCCCGCCCAGCGTTTGGCCCCGCTCCGGGACGCCCCGCAGTCCGGAGCAATCGGCCAGAGGCCGGAGGCTCCCGGTTTCTTGGCGGACCCAGGAGGCCCGGAAAGGTCGGGTTTTGTTTTTGTTTTTTAATGCAGGAGGAGGGGGAGCCCAGTTCGGGCGTCTCACAGAGCCCTCCTGGGGTGACTGCTCCGAGGAGGCGATGAGGGGGCGGGTAGAGTCTGGGTCACGCAGAGGGTGCGGGGTGAGCGGCCCAGGCGGAGCGAGAGGGCAGAAGCTCCTCCCGGCACCGCCCCGCCCCCCCGCCCCGCCACCCCAGGTAATTTTCCTACATCGGTGAGGGGCGCGTCCCAAGCCTGGTGCTCCCCAAGCCGCGGGGAACGGAGCCGGCCGCGGGGGCGGGGCCGGGGCGGGGCCTGGTCGGCCGCGCAGGCGAGGCCGCACCCACCGCGACTGCAGGTCCTGGAAGGCTCAGCCCAGGCGGCCAAGCGGGATCACACAGCGGCGGCCGAGCGCAGGTGATCGGTGGGAGTAGGCGCGGGGAGTGCCGGGGCGAGGATGCGGGTTGCGGGGACCAGGGGCCTCAGCGGTTCCTGGCACTGCCACAGTGCGCCGAGGGAGGCCCAGCGCGAACAAGGCCCAGGCCGCGGGGTTGCGCGGCGAGGCCTCGGGCGGCGGCGCGGGCCAAAACCCCAACTGGGGTTGCCATCGATGCGCAGGGGTCCAGGCCTAGACTTCGAGAGCCACAAGGAGGGATGGGAGGTCGAAGACGCGCGAGGGCACCTGGGCCTGGAGCCCAGCCACGGGGATGGGGGTGGGGGTATAGGAAAGGCGGCTCGCCCTCGCCTACCTCTTCTCCAGTCTCACACAGGCAGGTCATTTCCTCCGTGGTCTCGGAAAAGTGGCTTGAGCCCTTTGGACTCGGTCGGAGACAATGACAATTATGCTTTCCCCTCCTCTGTTTTGAGGATGGGAGAGAGAATGAGAAGGTACCAGACAGGATACGGGGCTTTGCGTTCATATTTCCAGGCCAAAGACTGGCCTACTGAAAAAGGCTGGCTCTAGACTCAGAAAGGGCTCAGGCTCCTTTCCGCGTGGCCTCGGGCAGATCCCCCCTCTTCTGCCTCCTTCGCCTCCCTTAGGGGCTATTGTGAGGTGCCAGTAAAAAAATCAGAGCTCACCTTTTACTGAACTTCTCCTGAGAGGGGTCCTTGAACCCTTTCCAGGAGGTAAGTACTGTTCCTGGTCCCATTTTACAGAGCAGGAAACTGAGGCTCAGAGAAGCCCGGTGACTTTCCTGAGATAATCAGTGGCAAAACTGGGAGGAGAACCTCCACCACAGGGTGCAGTACCTGGTCCTCGGGAGGGGGCCAGGTCTGCAGTGTAGCTTGTCAATACCCACAGGAGGGCCATGGCGGTGGGTAACATCAACGAGCTGCCAGAGAACATCCTACTCGAATTGTTCACACACGTGCCCGCCCGCCAGCTGCTGCTGCGCTGCCGCCTGGTCTGTAGCCTCTGGCGGGACCTCATCGACCTCGTGACCCTCTGGAAGCGCAAGTGCCTGCGTGAGGGCTTCATTACCGAGGACTGGGACCAACCCGTGGCCGACTGGAAGGTCTTCTACTTCCTCCGCAGCCTCCGCAGGAACCTCCTGCATAACCCATGTGCCGAAGGTGGGATGCTGACTGGCTCTGACATGCCCCCCGACACACACACACACAGTTGTGATGTCATTTAACATTCATTAAGCACTTACTATGAGCCAGCCAGGCACTTTAGGGGGCTTAATGCCTTTCATCCTCTCACAGTAATCCTAAGAGGTAGGTGCTGTTAGACATCAATCTTTCAGATGGGAAAACTGAACCCAAGAGTGGCATTTCTTATCCCCAGTGACCTTTCTGAGGAGAAGGAATGTTGGCTAGTTGGAACTAATTGTGCCAGGACACAAGACCCGGAAGTCAGAACCAAATTTTCTTGGCCTGGTTCCCAGACTCCAGGATTAAGCCTACTAGGAGTGTCCCAGAGGACAAAGGGGATTTTGCTCATGAAAGAGGGAGAGACCCAATCTTCTTTCCAAAACATTCCAACAGCAGGTGAAACATGACTTCTGTGGTCATCCAGAGCCCCCCCCACCCCTTCCATTGCTGTGTTGTAACTGATTATAATTAGACACTGGGATGGGATGAGAACCTCATTCTCCTTTATGTGGTCAAATTCTGGAGTTAAATAACAAAACCACCCAAAGATGTCCAGAGCTTTCAGATGCCTCCTCATTTGACTCCCCAACAGCTATGTTCTTGACCAGCAGTTGACATACCATGGTCCATAGGCCAAATCTGGTCCAGGAGCTAAGAAGAATTTCTGAGGTTTTATGTGATAGTCAATATGTAGCCCACAAAACCTGACACTTTGTGGAAAAAGTTTGCCAGTCTCCATTCCTGACCCCAGTTTACAGAGGATGAAACCAAGGCTCAGAGAGAGAAAGCAGCTTGCATAAGGTCACAGAGTCAGTATTGGTAGAGCTGGGACTAGATCCAGATCTGCCTGGCATCAGAGCATTCCCTAACATTAGTCGTCTGGTCATTCCCACTGTCAGGATTCCCAGTAGAAGTCAGTCATGGTGGTGCCTGGCACACCGGATGTGCAGGGTTCCCAGCTAGGGGCTTGAGGGCAGCTGCTGAAAGCCAGGGAGAGATGCTGGGAGCAAGGGGCGCTTGGGAGCTGACCACTAGGGGGCCTCCCTTTGATGTGAACTGTGCTTTCCCGCCAGAGGGGTTTGAATTCTGGAGCCTGGACGTGAATGGAGGTGATGAGTGGAAGGTGGAAGATCTCTCCAAAGACCAGAGGAAGGAATTCCCCAATGACCAGGTCAAGAAATACTTCGTGACTTCTTATTAGTAAGATCCATGGGGTCTCGGGGGGGGGGGGGGGGACACCCAAGTCACTGCACCTTGAGGCCTCTCCTGCTCTGGGAAGGGCAGTCCTAACCCTGGAGGGCCCTGGTGGCGAGCCCCAGCCCCTCCCACCCCTCCACCCACCCTCAGCACCTGCCTCAAGTCCCAGGTGGTGGATCTCAAGGCCGAAGGGTACTGGGAGGAGCTGATGGACACCACACGGCCAGATATCGAGGTCAAGGACTGGTGAGTGCCTGGGGTGAGGGCTTAGGGGGAGTCCTGCCACTCAGGTGCCCCACCCCCACCCTTTCCCCCATCTCCAAGGCCCTGATGGGCCCTCCCTCTGCCTGCAGGTTCGCAGCCAGGCCAGACTGCGGGTCCAAGTACCAGCTGTGTGTTCAGCTCCTGTCGTCAGCACACGCACCTCTGGGGACCTTCCAGCCAGACCCAGCAATGATTCAGCAGAAGAGCGATGCCAAGTGGAGGGAGGTATGTGAGTCGGGAAGGGGACAGGGGCACATTGTCCAAGGCTGAGACCACAGTTACACAGGCCTGGGTTCAGATCCCAGTTCCACTGCTTCTGACCTAGGCTTTGGCTGCTCTGACCTCTAAAAGACTTCAATGAAATGATGCTGGGAAAGATATGTTCAAAAAAGTTGACTACTACTAATTACTACCAGTTATAACTATTATTTAGGTCAGGATTCAGTGATCTTTTTCTTAAAAGGCCAGATACAAATAGTTTAAGCTTTGCAGGCTGTACTGTCTCTGTCTCAACTACTCAGCTCATCAGCTCTGCCATTGTCATGAAAGTGGCTTTAGCAAATGGGCATGTCTGTGTTCCAATAAAACTTTATTTATAAAACCAGGTAGTGGGCCCCTAGACCAGTTTCCCAACTTCTGATCTGGACCAGTGCTCTCCGGTAGAACTTTCTGCAGTGACAGAAATGGTCTGTCTGCCCTGTCCAGTTTGATAGCCCAGAGCCACATGCAACAACTGAAAACTTAGTAAAAGCCCGTTTGTAGTGTAGCTGAGGAACAAATTTTTCGTTTTATCTAACATTAATTAATTTTAACTTAAATAGCCACATGTGCTCAGTGATGACTGGACATCCTTTGGCAGCTTGCAAAGTTTCCTTCAGTTCCTTTGAGCTGCACTTAGAGAATCCCATGGAGTGGATCCAGCAGGATTTTGCTCCATTTTACAGATGAGGAAATAGAGGCATAGACAAGGGAGATAGTCTGCCCAAATCAGAGTAAGGACTCAAATTCCATTCTCCTGACTCTGGGTCAAGCACTAAGACCTCCGCCCATCCTGGCCCCCTCACCCCCTCAGGCAGCGCCACACTCGAGGTCAACTCCCCTGACCACTCTCCTTCCCTCCGCCCACCCCCCCAACCAGGTCTCCCACACTTTCTCCAACTATCCGCCCGGCGTCCGCTACATCTGGTTTCAGCACGGCGGCGTGGACACTCACTACTGGGCCGGCTGGTACGGCCCGAGGGTCACCAACAGCAGCATCACCATCGGGCCCCCACTGCCATGACACCCCCAAGCCCCCAGCCACCTAATCCCAACTGAAAAACTGCTGTCAGAGAAGGGCTGGGCTTGGGAAAGGGAGGTGGAGGCCAGGCTCCCCCAGACTTCCTAGTTCATCTTTGCCCCCAGCTCCTCAATTGCCACTCTGTGGAGCCTCTTTGTGCAGCCTTTGTATGTTATGGGTAGCTAGCTCTCTGCCAGGGGTCTCAGTCTGAATGATGGGGCCCCTGAAGTTAGGGAGGTACAGGTCGTTCTCCCAGGCTCTCCCCCAGTCACCTCTGAGGGAAGGTCTCCAAGTTCTGCTGGTAACCCAGATCTATGTGTCTACCGTCTCTCCCTGGGCTGTTTTCTCCTTGTCTTCTTTGAGGGCCACCAGAGCAGGGACAGTCAGGACTTCGGGCAAGCCTGTGACTGCCCTACGTAGTAAGGTGCTGGGAGGTGACCGTGTAGCTCAGACAGGTCTAGGAGTGGAAGGAGGAGTCTGCTGGCCCACCCTCTGCCCCCTTCTCTACCACCCTCAAACTCTCTCACTCTGAGCCCCTTTGGCCCAGAGGCTCAGGCCTGGTCTGAGATAGTCAGGCCCAGTGGGGTGGGGTCCTGGCCAGGTCTAGACAGTCTTCAGTCAGGGAAGCCCCAGAAGCCACATAGGTATTAAGTAAAAGACCCCCCTGGAATTCTGTGCAGGGTAAGCCAGGGCGGCGGGGGGGGGGGGTGGGGGGGGGCGGTGCCAGGACTGATCCCTGAGAACTGGGATATGTGAACCCTGAATGAATAGGATAGGGGTTTTCAAGAACCACCTGTCCGCCTCCATGCCTAGACCATGCTCTCTTTAGCTTGGAGAGCATTCCAGGCCCCCACCCTACCCTCAGAACTACCATTCCCAGAACCTCCCCACCCTGTCTGCCCACATTCCCACCTCTCCCTCCCGCTGGAAAGAGAGCTGTGCTCTAGTCCTACCCCTGCTGCATGTGGCCAAATAAAAGGTATTCCCAGCCCAACATGTGCCCTGTGTTTTCTGGGAGAAAATGGCAAACTTCATGGGAGGTCCTGCCTCTGGCCTGCAGAAGGTGCAACTTGTATGGCTCTGTCCAAGATACAGAGAGGGGTTGACATTTCAGGAGCCAGACTTCAAAGAATGAGGGTCCTGAGACAGACCGCTGGAAGAGCTGCTGACCCCACAGCCCAGCAGCCCTCCAGTATTGCTGGCTTCCTCTGGAGGCCTGGCCACCAGCTGGGGGGTGAGGCATGCAGGTTTCTTGGGCAGCTCTTGCCTACACCTCTTGCTGGGTCAGCAGTGCCACCACAGGCACTACTTACTGCTGTTTTTTTCACTGCCCAGAGCTTTACTGACATTGGATGAAGCCTAAGAATTTATAGTGGCTCAGCTGATCAAGAATCCGCCTGCAATGCAAGAGACCTGGGTTTGAACCCTGGGTTGGGAAGATTCCCTTGGAGAATCGAAAGGCTACCCACTCCAGTACTCTGGCCTGGAGAATTCCATGGACTATATAAGTCCATGGAGTCGCAAAGACTCAGACACCACTGAATGACTTTCACTTTCAAGTATTTATAAGGGTGCCTGGCACACAGTAGGTGCTCAATAAGTACTGTTAAGTTGCATTATCTTCACTTAACAGTTAGCTAGAACCACAACCCACTTAACTGTACGGCAAGTCAGCAAAGGACACTCTGTCTTGGAGGAGACGCAGCCCGGAGTTAACAGCCTGGCCAGGGTCTGGCACCCCTGGGCAGCGCACAGCCTTTATGACCCTTTGTGATTACCTGAAGTGTTGTTCTTCAGTTGCTCGGTCATGTCCGACTCCTTTGAGACCCTATGGACTGCAGCCCCTAGGCGCCACTGTCCATGGGATTTCCCAGGCAAGAATACTGGAGTGGGTTGCCATGCCCTCCTTCAGGAGATCTTCCCAACCCAGGGATCTAACCCGGGTCTCCTGCTTGGCAGGAGGATTCTTTACCACTGAGCCACCTGGGAAGCCCCTGAAGTAGGTGCTTGCTAATTATTTATTGAATAGAGAAAGTGAAAGTCGCTCAGTCGTGTCCGACTCTTTGCGACCCCATGGACTATACAGTCCATGGAATTCTCTAGACCAGAATACTGGAGTGGCCAGCCTTTCCTTTCTCCAGGGGATCTTCCCAACCCAGGGATCAAACTCAGGTCTCCTGCATTGCAGGCGGATTCTTTATCAGCTGAGCCACAAGGGAAGCCCTAAATAGGGAAAGGAATTAACTTAATCCTAACAAAAAAACACAGAGCGGATTTTACCTTTGAGTTAATTGAGGGCTGCCCGAGAGATGGTAGGAGCCAAGCGCAAGGCCAGAGTTTCAGCAGTCTCCCTCCAGACCCACTTCGCTCCGGGGGTCCAGGGATCCTGGGTAGATGTCTAAGGAGTGGCCCCAGAGGGGAGGAGCTGGATCAGGAGGCGGCTCCGGCTTCCCCGGAAGGAGATAAGGTTAGCCCCCGCCGCTGAGCCGCCCGCCGCCTAGAAGGGAACGCTTGAGGTCTGGAGCTCCCCCGACGCGGCCCCGGCCCTGAGAACCCCAGAATCCCTGGCACACGGTGGGTGAAGGGGTTCCGGCGTTGGGTTGGCTAGGTCTCAGGAGCGGCCCAGAGGGACGCGGCCGGAGCGCGGCGCGTGACGCAGGCGCGGGGCGGGGCGAGAGCGCGCGGCGCCTAGGAGGCCGCAGGTTCCAGGCCGATCCTCAGCTCCGGTCCCGCGGAGCGCGCCGCCCCGCGACCAGGTCTCAGCCCAGCCGGGGGACGGGTAGGGGGGCGACAGGCGTGGGAGGGGGCTTGGATGTCAGGCACTGCGGGTCTCCGGGTCTCCCAACGTTGACCGAGCCCGAGGACGCCGTCACTGGCGGGCAGGCACCCACGGCAGGCGGAGAGGGACGGAGGGAGCCGCTTCCGGGCTTGGTAGGGGCGTGGCGGGGGCGGAGCCCATCGCCGGGGTCTAGTCGCCGCGGCGCGGAATCCCTGGCCTCCGGGCCTAGCTGTCCCGGAGCATCCTCGGCTTCCGGGGCCACTCCCGCCTCACCTCCAGACCAGCGCCCTGGCTAGGAGACAGTCTAGGGACTCCGGGCACCGTCACTCCCGCGGGGCCTGGGACGGAGCCAAACTTACCCAAGCCTCAGCTTTCGCTTTCGAAAATGGGCTTAGTAACAGGGTCTCAAGGGGTTCTTAGGAGAGTCTATGGAGAAAAGGCTAGTGCGTGGCTTCTGGACTGGTACGCAGGAAGCCCAGTAGGTGCGAGAGGCTGCTTCGTAGCGCTGATGTAGACGTTTCCACTTAAGAGTGCCCCAGGATGACCTTCACCCACCCCCCCACCCCGCTACCCTCTCTGCAGTCAGGCTTTGGGGATGGGGTCCAGTAATAACGTGGGTTGCCATGCCCTACCTCAGGGGATCTTCTCCGCCCAGGGATCGAACCCGCATCTTTTATGTCTCCTGCTTTGGCAGGCAGGTTCTTTACCGCTAGTGCCACCGGATGTTAGTCGCTCAGTCATGTCCAACTCTGCAACCCCACGGACTTTAGCCCACCAATCTCCTCTGTCCATGGGATTCTCCAGGCAAGAATACTAGAGTGGGTTGCCATTTCCTTCTTCAGGTATCTTCCCGACCCAGGAATGGAACCTGGGTCTCCTGCATCGCAGGCAGATTCTTCACTGAGCCACCTGGGAAGCCCAGTAACATGGGACCAGACTTTGGACCACAGGTTAAGACACCTCTAACTTGGAGATCCAACCAGGCCATCCTAAAGGAGATCAGTCCTGGGTGTTCATTGGAAGGACTGATGTTGAAGCTGAAACTCCAATACTTTGGCCACCTGATGCTAAGAGCTGACTCATTTGAAAAGACCCTGATGCTGGGAAAGATTGAGGGTGGGAAGAGAAGGGGACGACAGAGGATGAGATGGTTGGATGGCATCACCAACTCAGTGGACATGAGTTTGGATAAACTCCGGGAGTTGGTGATGGACAGGGAGGCCTGGCGTGCTGCGGTTCATGGGGTCTCAAAGAGTCAGACACGACTGAGAGACTATACTTTCGCTTTTCACTTTCATGCACTCGAGGAGGAAATGGCAACCCACTCCAGTGTTCTTGCCCGGAGAATCCCAGGGATGGAGGAGCCTGGTAGGCTGCTGTCTATGGGGTCGCACAGAGTCAGACACAACTGACACAACTTAGCAGCAGCAGCAGCAGCCCAAGGGACCAGGGGACTGTAGGAGCCAGGCTTGAGGCCAGAGTTTCAACAGTCTTTGTCCAGGCTGTCCAGGTGGGGGCCCACCTCCCTCCCTGCATCCAGGAAACCAGGGTAGAGGTCTAGGGAGTGGCCCCGCAGGCCAGGGGCTAGTTCAGGAGGACTCTGGCTTCCCAGAGGGAGGAGGAAGCAGAGAGAAGGTGAGTCCTTGCAGGAGCTAACAAGTACCTTGTGGTGGTGGTGGTTTAGTCACTAAGTTACGGCCACCTCTTTGCGACCCCATGGACTGTAGCCCACCAGGCTCCTGTCCATGGGATTTACCAAGCAAGAATCCTGGAGCAGGTTGCCATTTCCTACTCCAGGGTATCTTCTCGACCCGGGGACAAGTACCTTATTTGTTTATCTATTTCTCTAGTAATGGTAAAATGCTTCACCCTGGGCAGGTGCCAGTGTGCCCACCCTCATTTTTTTATGGGATGAATGTGTTGAGAAGACTGTGAACTGTGTGAAAATTAATAAAGGGAAACTGATAGTACAATCCCAGCATCAAGAGGCATACTGGGAATTTCTGGCAGAAAGTGACAACACTACTGCAAACAGGAGGCAAAAAAGAACTTATCCTAGTGAAAGTGACAATACTACTGCAAACAGAAAGCAAAAAAGATCTTCTCCTCCTTTGGCAACAGCTCAGCCAATGAGAGACTAACAACTCAACCAATGAAAAGCCATTATGCTTCCAATGCCTAGTGTCTTCCAGTGAATTTTTTTGCTTATAATAGCCCCACCCAA